TCGAAACCACGTTCTTCGAAGAGTGGAGGCGCGCGAGACAGTAGTAAGCCGACCGAGTATCAGCAGCTTTAGGGTAAATACGATGATCCGTCTGCGGGCCGGGGCGAAGAGCCCCGCCTGACACCGGGTTACGAGAACAGGAGTGTCAGTCAATAACGACAAGCTTCCCTGTCAGGTGCACTATCTGGCGCTCGTATAAAAGACACGGTCTGAGAGCAGAGGGCATCAGTCGCTCACCTGGTCGGCCCCACGGCCAGCACATTCAGCCAGGATGAAGACTGCGGTGGTCATCTGCCTACTGGTCGGAGCGTCGGCTTTCCCGCAGGAGATACCCTTGTTCGAGGGCTCCGGCGGTGACCCGTTCGTCGACCAGAACAACAACTCCACGGACGGCAGGGGCGGTAACAACCCCACCAACGGCACCGGCTCCGACGCCGAGCTGCTGCGCTCCTACTTCGACATCAACGAAAAGGGAGACTTCCGCTACGGTTACGAGACCAGCGATGGAACCTCTGTGGACGCAGAGGGCGGCAACCGGAAGATCGGAGACTCCGAAGGCATGACCATGCGTGGCTCGTACTCGTACATCTCACCAGAGGGTATCCTCGTCGAGGTTTACTGGGAGGCTGATGAGAAGGGTTTCAGGGCGTACGGACCTCAGATACCAAGCACACCTGAGCACGTAGAGAAACTCCATCCTGACCCGTCAGGAAACAGAGATCGCAACGACGGTCAGCGTCCACAGCGTCCTGGCGACCGCAACGACGGACAGCGTCCGCAGCGTCCTGGCGACCGCAACGACGGACAGCGGCCGCAGCGTCCTGGAGACCGTAACGACGGACAACGTCCGCAGCGTCCTGGTGACCGCAACGATGGACAGCGTCCGCAGCGTCCTGGCGACCGCAACGATGGACAGCGTCCACAACGTCCTGGCGACCGCAACGACGGACAGCGGCCGCAGCGTCCTGGCGACCGCAACGATGGACAGCGTCCGCAGCGTCCTGGCGACCGCAACGACGGACAGCGGCCGCAGCGTCCTGGCGACCGCAACGATGGACAGCGTCCGCAGCGTCCTGGCGACCGCAACGATGGACAGCGGCCGCAGCGTCCTAGGGACCGCAACGACGGACAGCGACCGCAGCGTCCTGGCGACCGCAACGATGGACAGCGTCCGCAGCGTCCTGGCGACCGCAACGATGGACAGCGTCCGCAGCGTCCTGGTGACCGCAATGATGGACAGCGTCCGCAGCGTCCTGGCGACCGCAACGATGGACAGCGCCCACAACGTCCTGGCGACCGCAACGATGGACAGCGGCCGCAGCGTCCTGGCGACCGCAACGACGGACAGCGGCCGCAGCGTCCAGGCGACCGCAACGACGGACAGCGGCCGCAGCGTCCTGGCGACCGCAACGACGGACAGCGTCCGCAGCGTCCTGGCGACCGCAACGACGGACAGCGGCCGCAGCGTCCTGGCGACCGCAACGATGGACAGCGGCCACAGCGTCCTGGCGACCGCAACGATGGACAGCGTCCGCAGCGTCCTGGCGACCGCAACGATGGACAGCGTCCGCAGCGTCCTGGCGACCGCAACGACGGACAGCGTCCGCAGCGTCCTGGCGACCGCAACGATGGACAGCGTCCGCAGCGTCCTGGAGACCGTAACGACGGACAAGATCCGCAGCGTCCTGGCGACCGTAACGATGGACAGCGTCCGCAGCGTCCTGGCGACCGCAACGATGGACAGCGTCCGCAGCGTCCTGGCGACCGCAACGACGGACAACGTCCGCAGCGTCCTGGCGACCGCAACGATGGACAGCGTCCGCAGCGTCCTGGCGACCGCAACGACGGACAGCGGCCGCAGCGTCCTGGCGACCGCAACGACGGACAGCGTCCACGGCGTCCCTCCAACGACGATTCGCGTCCGCCGCAACCCTTCAACGACGGCCAGCGTCCCCAGCAGCCCTTCAACGACGCTCAGCGTCCCTTCGATGACCGCAATGACGATCCACGTCTCCAGCAGCCATTCAACAATGGCCAGCGTCCCTTTGATGATCGCGACGACGACCGACGTACACAGCAGAACTTCAGTGACTTTCAGCGTCCCTTCGATGACCGCAATGACGATCCACGTCTCCAGCAGCCATTCAACAATGGCCAGCGCCCCTTCGATGACCAAAATAGAAGAAGACGTCCCCAGCAACCATTCAACGACGGTCAGCGCCCCCAGCAGCCCTTCAATGACGGTCAGCGTCCCTTCGATGATCGCAATGACGGACGACGTCCCCAGCAGCCCTTAAACGACGGCCAAAGTCCCTTCAACGATGGTCAGCGCCTCTTCGACGATCCCAACGACAGGAGACGTCCCCAGCAACCCTTCAACAACGGTCAGCTCCCCTTCAACGATCGCAATAATGGACAACGTCCACAGCAGCCTTTCAACGACGGTCAGCGTCCCCAGCAGCCCTTCAATAGCGGCCAGCGCCCTTTCGATAATCGCAATGACAGGCGACGTCCCCAACAATCCTTCAACAACGGTCAGCGTCCTCAGCAGCCCTTCAACGACGGTCAGCGTCCTCAGCAGCCCTTCAACAACGGTCAGCGTCCCCAGCAACCTTTCAATGACGACCGACGCCCTTTTGATGACCGTAACGATAGGCGACGCCCTCAGCAGCCTTTCAATGACGGCCAGCGTCCTCTAGACGACCCCAGTGACAGATTACGTCCCCAGCAACCTTTCGATGACGGCCAGCGTCCCTTCAACGACCGTAACAATGGACGTCCCCAGCAACCGTTCAATGACCGCAACGGTCAACGTCCCTTCGATGACTTCAACAGCGGACAACGTTCACCGCAGCGTCCCTTGAGCAACAGTCAACGTCCCTTCGATGGCCTTAATAACGGACAACGTTCTCCACAACGTCCATTAAACGACCCGAACAGTCAACGTCCCTTCAATGATCTCAGTAACGGACAACTTTCCCCGCAGCGTCCATTGAACGATCGCAACAGTCAACGTCCTTTTGATGACCTCAACAACGGACAGCTTTCTTCGCAGCGTCCATTGAACGACCGCAACGGACAGCAACCTTCGTTCGGCGACCCCAACAGCATAAATGGTGGAAGAGATCGTCCTAACGACCGCGACGACGACCGATTCGACCCTAACAGGCGTGGGGATAGCCGAGGTCCTTTTAACGATCCGCTGAACGGCAACCCCGGAAGGCCATCTCCTGGCATCCAAGGCAATCCTGGAGCTCCCTCAAATGACCGCAACTTCAACAGATCTCCACTACGTGATCGTAACAATCAGCAACAGGATCCTCTCAATAGACAGAATAGTGCACGCGACCCACTCAACAACTTCAGAAACTCAGACCCGCTTCTGGATCAACAGGACCCTGGAAACTTATTCAGTAGTCCACAAGACGATCTCGATGATATAGCCAACGGTTCTGGCGGTGTGCTGCGCGGCAATGATCTCGACCCCCAGGCATTCGACACGTCACTACGATCTTCATTCCCCATCAATGCAGCCGACGACATCATCAACACCTTCAACGCCGGTCTTGCCGCCTCAGATCCCAACGGATCGCTGTTTTCCGATGATGACCTGGACCTGGTATAGTTAATTCACTTGATAACATAAATGACAATGATCTTGTTTAGAATGGTTCCTAGCATGCAGAGCTTGTAGAATCCAGAGAAGACGATTGCGCGGCTGAGTGTCCTTCTTTGCCTAGTTGTTCTCAATGTTGCTACCATGTGCCGCTGCCTGATGTACATAACGAGCTGCTGGATCAGATCTCTGTCGCGGCACCGGTCCTGTCCTTGTGTGCGTTTATGTGTATGCCACTCGACCAAAGGCATAAGTCCGCCGGTCGGTGTACGTCCAGTTCCGTGTTTGTCCACGTTTGTGTGTGATTCGTGTAGTCCTGTAAGTTCGCATGAATACAACTGCAAGTGCCAACTAAGTTTCTGTTGAAAACGACAAAATGAAGGAAAACTCATGAGCCAAGAATGAGCCTAAGCAAGCGCACTCATTTATATGTTAATTTGAGTAGCATCCTGCGACAGCACGAGTGAAGCAACAGTCCACTGTGAGCCGATTCTTAGTAACAAAGAAATACTTGACACCGGGTAGGTAGCCGGGCAATAGCTCAGACAATGGAATTTCAGTCACCGATAAGCTCACGAAACGTTGATTGCTCTGTGAAAACAGCAATCTTGGCAGCACGATACCGATACGAACAGACTGGTATCCTGAGAGATACAAAATAACAACCGATAAAGATAACAGTACCCTTTGATACTACTTAGCCAGCGATACGCACATCTTTCCAAGAAAAAGTTATGAATGAATAGGACCAGGCAAATGCCTTTCGTGAATTGCACATCTCGCTCATCGCATGCACTAGCCAAGTACATGCCATCATCTGGCATTTGTGTCATTATCTGGGAGAAAGATATAACATTCTAGGAAATGAAGACAAGTTTACGGTCAATACCAGTCATTAAGTTATGTAAAGCGGCCATTACTTCAGTAAAAACAGCTCGTTCCACAATTACGTTAGTGGCACAAGTCAATTAAGCGTTTCGAAATTTAGTAAGCTTGTAAATAAAGCTTTCATAACAACCACTGCCTTCTCATTTTAAGAATAAACGGAAAATCGATAACCATCTCTACAAAGTATAATATCTATGACATTGAGGTAGTTTAATATCACCAGATGTTATTACTACTTAGCTTGTTACCATAATGCTCGTCGATTAATGTCGATGGGATGCAGTCCACTCAAGTACACACAATTGTAGCGTAAAGACACTTAGGCGCCGATATGCAGAATGGCGCATCTAAAAGAAGTCATGACCATAGGCTTGATGCTCAAGCCTAAAACATCCGCAGCCGGCAGCCCCCTGTAAATACGGCAAGGGGCACACAGACAGGGAACCACTTTCAGACCCGTGAAAGGTCCCCAAACCCAATATCGGTAGGTACTCACTCGACCTCGTGCATGATCTTGTTGACGTAGATGCAGTTGTTGTCGGCGATCTGCTTGTAGTCACAATTACGACAGGCGTACAGCAGCACCTTATTCTCCTTGTCCTCCTTTGGGTACAGCATGTTGTTGCACTCCTGGCAGAACTTGATGCCGACGAATCCGGGAGCACCGGAGCCACGGGCAGCGTTCATCGCGACGAGAAATCACAAACTTTTCACAGTCCAATTGCACGCGTTGTGTAGAACGTTAGGCACCAGAAGCTGAGGGACAGGAAGGAAGCGAAATGAGAGCAAGTCACGGATAACTGATTTTAAATAGCGGCTTGATATTAGCATCTTGGTTTTGGCATGTGCTGTTGTGTGATGATGAATGTGGGCGTAGTGACATTGTGTGTCTGATGTGTTTCGTTTCAAGCAACTGTATTGATAAAGTTCGATGATAAAATGCGGTATAATCAATCACGGCTCTATAGTTAGGGAAGATGAATAAATCATAACTGACCACGTGACAAGCACGCCTCCTCATTTTGACCATTTTATCATCAAGTTCTTCCCTTTCCCAATCTCTGGAATACGATTATGGGACACTAGCTGTCCTACCTAGATCCGGTAATTCCTAAACAAAAATCCTACGCCGGCAGGTCCTTCTCTGATAAGTCGGTACGCTAGTGCGTTCACCCCCCGTCTCATATGACGCCGACTCCGCTGGTGTCCTTCACAAGCGTCCCCTAAGTGCCTCGTGGGCGGCAGACCATATCGGCCAATCACTAACGGCACAGAGTCTGATGCCGTATAAAATGCACCCGTCTAATTGTCATCTGCAGCACCTCCTTGTCTGCAAAAATTTTCACCGCGTGGAATGCGAGCCATCGACAGTTGATTTGAAAGCCTTTCCGTTGCGTATGCCTGTTAATTAATACGGCAATTGGGATAAAACAGCATTTAAATAGGCAATTATTCATGATTTCTTATTCGCCGACTTTGAAGCCTGCAGTAGGTGGATGAATTCATTTTGAGCTTCGCCAGCCTTGTATTATTTCATCCATGGCCTTAGTATTATAGGATACAGTTTACCGTAGGTATATATTTCATACTGATCTATCAACAGACAAATTGATGGCATGGCGTAGCTATCGCATACACCAAATTACGTTCAAAGTGACTTTGTGGCAAATCTTCAAAACAGTTTATTATGTAGAAGGAATTTTACATAAGAAAACTGCCATAACATGTAAAAAAGCACCGCTTTTGTTTTCTTTTGTTTAATTGGGGGCAAGTTCTTTTAGTTTGAAAAGACCATTGCAGAGCTATGGGATGTTAGGACAGGGCGTAGACATTGGGCTGTGCAGGACACCGACAGTGAGCCGCGGAGGCGAGACCGTCCCGGTGGGATCGGATTGCCCCATTGGGACAGTCCGACCGATTCCCAAACGGTCACCCGGGAGAGAATTTACGGGTCCTGTAGTGGACCCGACCACATCCACTGGTTGTCAAGTGGGGTGACCGCCAGCCCGGAAAGGGAGCGTGAGGGAGAACGGATGGGTTTGTCCCGAGGATGGCGAGGCCGACGACGGATGAAAAAGGCATTGCAAGCCCGCCGATAGCGATACCCTTTAGCTGCTACCATAGATAACAATAGAACTATTATCTACTGTTCTACTATTATCTATGCTGATACCTAATCAGACATTGGCGGATACAGGGGGCATTTGGGGCAATCCACCCAACCCCCGGCGCCCAAAATTGACGAAATTTTGAGGTTTTTCAAGATTAAAACGAAAACTAAACTTTTATCCCGAAAAGTTTTCTTCAAACTGCACAGCAGTGCGTAAGGACTTGAAAATCCGAAATGTTTTTGGAATTCCGAGAAACTTTTTGGGGGTATGCCCCCTGCAGCGTTGAAGACCGCCTTTCTGGATCCGTCAGTCTCGCCAGAAGTCAATAAGTAGTTTCAACAAACACGCAAAATAAGATACTGGGCTATCGGTGAAAATAATGGATAGACTAACGCTTGTTTGAGCGACACAAAGATAACAAAATAATGACACTCCATATACGTCACACAAAAAATATTTGCAAAAAAAAACATAACTTCTAAAAATATCCGACATCGACGCCACCTGGATCATCTATCGTCTCCCGTGGCGCCATCTCTGATGCCCTGTAACCGAACGAGTGAGGTAGGTGCTCGGTCCAGGGTACATTGGTGCTGTCAACTGACATCTTCCTGTGATGGTGATGGAAATGATGGTTTCCATATGAAAAGGTGTTGGTTCATATGTTCAAAACATCACAAGATAAAATCATCAATATTTGTCAAACTCTTGCGAAACATCTATATCTTCAGTTCAGGCTCCAGGGCAAGTATATTGACATACTGATTAGTGTGCTAAGGCTTTTAGGACGTGCCAGAGACCTCTGTATTGCGAAGTACTTGAACTTGCTAATTCAATGATAGCAATTAGCAGTTAGCACTCAAATTCATTCCACTGATCAGTAATCATTGCAGAGCTTCTGCACACTGCTTTTAAAAAAAAATGTTATCTGTTACCAACTGTCAGGATAAAAAGCTAAAGGTTGAAACAGCTAAATACTTAGGCATGCAACTATTAACTAGCACCTAGGAATTGGAAAGTAACATTGATTTCATACACTCAGACTCTGCAAGCTCACCAATGATTGATACAGACCAAGCCTCCTCCTGGCTCATACGATTCATTAAAAATATTTCTTTGAGGTTTTCCTGCTGCCAGGAAAGGACTCTATCTTCACATCCCACATACTGATCACTGAACAAAAGCAAGTTAAATCATGTATACCTTAATCTGTACTGGCTTAGAGAACAGCTTTAAAACACCAATATTAAATGTCTAGTTGGTTCATATGGCACAAGCCAAGTGGGTATCAAGCTAAAATGAATCATCAATACCTAAATATTAAAGTTGGCAATGGTCTGTCATCAATGACTGTTGAAAGTACGCTTGAAGTTCACACAATAAAATAGTATATATCCCGGATACCGAGGTAAGAGACGGGTAGGTCCGGCCCCTCAGTTCAGGCTCATCACACCACGCAGGCGCCAGCGACGCCAACGTTAATGGTCTTTTCACGTCAGTTCCGTGCAAAATACGTTTGATAAGACAAGCTCAATTCACATTATCTCATGCTGCTGTTATATACTGACATGTGAGCATGTGTGAGCTTTACTTTTCAGTGTCACAAAAGTATATTAATGCTTGGCCTTGGGTGTTAGAGGGGAAAATTCCTCTCCAAAAAAGGATGAGGGTGGTATGTTTTTGATAAGATTAGCCCCCCCCCCCCCTGAAAATAAAGAACAGAAGAAGGAAAGATTGCACACTTTTCTGTACACTGGTAGAATCTGATGTCATAATGCAAGCAGATGCTCTTACATGAGTGGTCAATTGCTCTTGAAAGTTGGAGGTGGGAGTGGAAAATTATTTTCATTTGGATGTCTTGTTCCACCCAAATTGACAAGTTTTTGGGACACTGTTACTTTTGTATTGTGTCGTGTGATGTATGCTGTCTTTATTAATGTAACTGACTAGGCCCTAATAGCCACTGAAGGGTGGATAAGACTTATAATAAATGACAAATGACAAAATGACATTGACTGTGACATGACTAAGAATATCAAATTGGATGATGGAAGTAAGTGAAACACAATCCAATGTTAAAATATCAAAATCAAATGGGGGCACGGCCAGTCTGCATAGTATGGCTCGTAGGTCGACGAGGCGCACCGGCCCAAGTTCAAAATCCGCAGCATTCCTTCAAACAGAGCCAGAAAATCCACACCAAAGGCGGCTGAGAGTACGAAAAAATCCGCACCGAACCCGCGAAAGTGACCGGTTCAAAGCCACACTGACCTCAATTATTGATATCACCCACAAGCCTGCCATCTCAGTAGCATGGAAACGAAACGAGAAATACGCACTGCAAAACTAGAACAAAAAGAATGTCACGCAAATGCAAGAACCCTATCCGGTACCCGCCCCTGGCGATTCATCCAGGGTGATTATTGTACGATGTACCATGGTCACCCTACTGCCGGTGTCGACACCGCCATTTAGCTATACTGCTTGACAACTTGTAAAGGTCCCAGTTACAAAAATAGAAATATGATGGCAAAAAGCGGGCCCATTGCATGCATGCAATTTCGGCACCTCTCATTAGGTCATTACAATTAGCTGTATCGAACAAAAAATATGATAGGCAAGTGATTCACAGCGGATTTGACTACTTAGCCACGGCAAAGTGGTGGTCCTTAAGGCATGCCATCAGCCATGCGCAGCTCGCCCTACCTACCACCGAGCGACAACGCCAAACCCTCACATGAGCCGAGCGCATCTCGTTCACGAATGCTGCAGTGCATGCAACAAACTCAGCTTCTTTCAACGCAACCTATTGACTGCCCTGCTTCGAACGTACCCGATAAATAGTTCGCATTTGACTACTTGAAGCGGTAGAGCGGTGATTTTCTGGTCCTCCCATCGGCCATATAAATCTTGAATCCCTCTCATCCTGCTCTCATCGGCTGTGCTCATCTTTCTCACGACTCACTCTACCGCCGGCGCCTCACAGAGCTGAGCGATGCGGGCGGTGCGTTTCGTGTTGCAACAGTGCAGAGTGCCAACTTGAAGGCGACCTACGTGATTGATGGCAGGCCGTTCTGACCACCGCACACTCATTTGGACCCTAGAGCACAATGAATTACGTGATGTCGAAGCTCCAACAATGTTTTTTTCGACTTTCCTCATCTATCTCGTCTGGTCTGTCATTTCTGTCACTAACCCAATGTCGCAATGAGCTTTACTATATCCGCACCGCACCATGCCAAATCCACACCACACCACACCAAATCCCCACCAGCCGTGCAAGCCCGCACAGACGAGATCTCGTCGAAATTGCCATACTTTGCAGACTGGGCCGGCACGGTGCCCCAGTGCCCCCGCGTTCCGTCGCCTATGACCAAAAAATAATGAAACGATTAGAGTAGATCACATTGTCCCAAAAATATATTTTTGGCTTGGATGTCGGAGGGGAATATTTATCAATACAAAGAGGGCTGAGAGTGGAAGATTGCCAGTCAGAAAGGCACTAAAAAGAGTTGAAATTGTCAAGGTAGGTAACTGAGGGTTTATGTTCAAGAGATGAAGTACACTTTCCTGGCATTGTTTCCAATTGAAATTGTTTGATAGGGTAGACTCTCATCACTCCACTCGTGATGATGTCCAGTGTGCGTGACTATCAGTACACGCGCTGAAGCCAAAGCTTCTCTCCAGTGTAATGCTAAAAAAATCAGCAGTAACCTATCTTTCAGCATTACCCAAACCACAATTTAGTTTACCTTTTCGCGCCTTGCTGAATCCGACAAAACCCCTCTAGCAATTTGGAATTTTGCAACTGAAAGTAATCATGAAATAACGTGGTGGCTGCTGAAAAACTCTCGCCGGCGAAATTGTAAACAATTTTGATAAATGAAACATATGCACCATTTTTGTAAATCTGCCATATTAAAGTTTTTCCCTTACATATCATGAAATCTTTCAGCTCATGATGCTCGGATCATTTGATCGTTTTTGTGTCCTATTTTCTGCTTCAGACCAATATTTTTCTCTACATGTCACAACTAATAAAAATCAAGCATTTATGCTGTTTTTTCATGACAACGTAAATGATAAATGTGCTGGTTGAAGTCGATGTAAACTCATTACGATTTTCCTTCATCTGGAAGCGCTTTCGGTAGGACAGTGGTCACTCAATTACTCCAACCTTGATTGTGATTGATAGTTTTGCTTTTTCCACAGAGAGGGGAGGGACACGCCTAAGAGCTGGACTTTTTGATGACGTCTTCGGGTGACGTCATGTCGTGTGTGACGTTACGTGAGCAGGTAAGGAAAAGCCACCACCGCTGGCGAACATTGGTGCGGTAAATGGCAAACACAAATGCTGCGCAGAAAAGACAAATGTGTAACTTCAGACAACATTCGTTCGGACGACAATGTCAAGGCGAATCAAGAAGTTCTTCATGCGATTGTTAGTTATCTGTCGTGCTATTTTAGTATGATTGTTATTAGCAGTTGATTTGTGAAATGTATTATCAAAATCAATGTTTATTGAACGCAGATTCAGTTTATTTTCAGATGTACCTAGGTACCCTTACACTTCACTCATCTTAAGCTGTTCAAACACCCTTGACAAAGTCGATTAAGATGAAACGTTGGGTATAATTTATACTGTGTTTTCTCTGCATTATTAACATATTCATCATATATACAATATAAGGGCCACATGCTTTTTACAGGGGACATGTCAGACAGCCCAGTAGGATGAGGCTTTGTCAAGCGTCATTTTTAGCAAAGCTTTTCTTGCTTAAAATCCAGTCTGCAAAACATGGCAGGGCTTACACTTTGGCTTACACTTGACTCCCAGCTGTTGTGTCTTTGCTATGTGATGTTAAACATATAAAACATCTTACTATTCATGTATGCGCCATGACTCATGTAATCTTTTCACAGCCAAGACGCTCCTAAGGTACCTACTGGGAATGTGGGGAGTGCAGCAGCATCAGTGCAGCACTGATGGTCGGATGCGACGGCTGCGATAAATGGTACCACTTCCGTTGTGCGGGACTGACTAAGGAGCCAGGTAAGCGCAAATGTTTTCTGTCTCAGTATTTTTGTTGCAGCTATAGTGATCAATGAAATATTTTCCGCACTGTTCAGCCAAACATGTATTTAAAACAATCTGCTTCCCAACCAAGGGCGTCGCCACAGGGGGGGGGGGGACGGAGGGGATCTCGTCCCCTCCACTTTTTAAAATTTTAACATTACGCCTATGGCGTTGCATGGAAAGAATCGACTTGAAATGGTCCTCGTCCCCTCCAAAATGGTCAATGTCCCCTCCAGTCGTCGCACCGTGGCGTCGCCCCTGTTCCCAACTGCACAAATTTAGTCAAACAATGTGCCAATATGGAATTTTCAGGTTCAGTTGAATGAAATAGGAACAATGATAATTGTAGATTATGTATACCTGCAAAAGAGGAAAACAGAATACATTGTATTGCTTGTCCTTCACCGATACTGTTATTTTTCCATTTCTAGAAACACCGACATGGCGATGCAGGTGGTACTGCCTGGTGAGGCCGCGGTCTCCGGAATCGCCTGCAGACGAAGTCACCTGGCGTCCATCTGCACATCACTTGCAGCAGTGAGGCCTGCTGACAGCGTCTGGCAGTGTCGGCAACGTGCCAGCCAGCTATCTGGAGTCCTGCTCACCGCAGGTCGCCGACAGGAGGGGCGACGCATCGTCTCCGAGGTCGCCTCAGCAGCAGTGAGACCCCACTGGCCGTCTTCTTAGGCTTCAACTAGATTGCGAACAACCTATGCTGAGACAACGCCCATGACGTGTGATCCGGTACCGCTACCGCACTGCGTGCCTGTGCCCGCCGTGAGCCGCTAGTGCATGGGTTCGACCATGAGAATATGTGTTTATGTTGCTTTTACTATTGTTTATACGTTGAAGTGACGAATTGTTTATTTTTCGCAAGCCTCCGCTGTCCGGTTGCCTGCAGCTCCATGCAACGCCGGCTGTACTGTTGTTTTAATGTTGTCTCTCCGCTCAGCTGTACTGTTACCTCTCCGCTCATAACAACCTATGCTGAGACAACGCCCATGACGTGTGATCCGGTACCGCTACCGCACTGCGTGCCTGTGCCCGCCGTGAGCCGCTAGTGCATGGGTTCGACCATGAGAATATGTGTTTATGTTGCTTTTTATACTATTGTTTATACGTTGAAGTGACGAATTGTTTATTTTTCGCAAGCCTCCGCTGTCCGGTTGCCTGCAGCTCCATGCAACGCCAGCTGCTGTACTGTTGTTTTAATGTTGTCTCTCCGCTCAGCTGTACTGTTGCCTCTCCGCTCATATATGACACCCTCTATATGAATGGCACTACTGATTGTCACACCCACTGTCCGTATTGTCCGTAGTGGTGTCTACGCCCATGTTAATACAGCGTGCAGAATCCAGATTCTATTGAGGAGAGTTGAGCCAAGTCACCATAGGCTCGGGAAGAGAGCAACGTGGAGGCCCATTGCCCCTTCCCCGGCCCCCACTGGGGGCGCCAGCCACTCCAACTTTTGACTGGATGTCAAGAGCGTCGCCACGAGGGGAACGAGTCGCCGGCCAGCCAAGGTAGCCAACGGCGTGTGAAGGTTGCCTGACCTCGAGGAAACTGAGATGGCACCAACGGAGGTTTTGTTAAGTAGGCGACCAAATTCGAGCGGCAGCAACCTGGGCACCTTCACAGATAGCAGTGCCGCGTATCAGGGCGCCTTCGACGTTGAGCTGGGCGCCGATCATCAGGACGCCGGGGGAATATGACCCAATATCCCTCGTAAATATGTGCCTCGGAAGGGAGACCCAACCATAAAACTGAAAGCTCGCCGTATTTTATCCACTATTTTTTCGAGCAGGTCCATAGATTTCCGTCCTCAAAAGTGCGGGGATATTCCCCAGTGTTTGAGTTGGATGGGACTATAGTGGCGTTTACACCGACAGGAGATTCCCATTGCCGGCTGTGGGAAACTACTGTCGGTGTAAACGCCATTCATATTTCCTGCGTCACCCCTGTGGGGACGCCCTTACTCCATGGTGCCGAGCTTATCAATTTGGATATCAATGGAATCAAAATCTCTTATCGATCGATGAAAGACTAAATTACCCCGACCCGGATAGCGTCTTTGGAATCAAAGCAGTAGCACATGACGCAAGACTTCAGGCAAATAAATCCTTCTTGTCTGAAATAAAACATTTGTGTATTGATAAGCACGTTTTATAAGCAATGGTAGCAAGATACTCCATGTATTTGGTTAAAGTGATAATTTAGTAGCAGATACTTACCGTCGCATCTCGTTTTTTTAATTAATAATTTATATTGTCAGAACTAGCAACATGTCTCTTCACTCAACAATAATTACAAAAGTGAAAAAGAAATGATAAATTGCTTATATTTTGGTGAAACTAAAAATTAATTCAGCACATATTTTTTTTTTACAGCGTTGAAGTCCAGCTCCAAAGGACAGCTGACGATCGTAGCCGAGCAGGCTGTTTGATAGTGGCTGTTTGGTACTTCTTCACTACTTCTTAGAAGTACCCGTTAGTACCGATCATGTCTCACATAATAAGCTATTGGAACAAAAATATCCATGTTTTCTAATTATTCTCCTTTCACACTTTAAATAAATACTTTTGAAATGCATTTACTTATTAATTTCACAAAAACGGCTTGAAATTTTACAACGTCAAAATACTTATTCCAATTTCCACCATGAAACCACCACTATACTACTTGCTTACAGAACCGTGCGCACAGTGCGCGCAGTTTTATCGTGACGTCAGAGGGTGCTTCCTCAGTGGCGCCCCCTGGCGGGGAACGCGTGCAAAAAGTCCAGCTCTTAGGCATGTCCGAGGGGAGGGTGCAGTGCTGCCAGATTTGGAGGATTTCCGCAAATCTGGAGGATTTTGAACTCTATTTGCGGACAAATTTCGCGTTTGGAGGATTTTTGATTCTGGAGGAAAATCTGGAGGATTTGTCACCCGATTAATATATTCAATTTCATGGAAAAATACAACGCGTTCAAGACTCAAAAGACATTTTCCTGCCCAGCTTCACCCTACCCGTTAGGATATATCACTGCCCTTTATCACCGTGAGACTGGAATGTCTCAGTCTGTAGCTATATCCACGAATATCATGGTGACTATTTGTTCCTATTTCGTGTACGATTGTACCATATGTTTTTGAAGGTACCGAACTACTGGCGGATCAAAGGGGGACATTTGGCGCAAATCCCCCCCCCCCCCCCTCCTGCAGCGTCCAAAATCGAAGAAAATTTTCGTTTTTTTTTTCAAGGATAAAACGAAAACTAAACAACTTTTATTATAAAAAAGCATCTTTTAAACTACACAGCAGTGCGAAAGGAATCGCAATCCGATGAGTTTTTAGAATTTGGAGAAACCTTTTCGGAGATATGCCCTCCCGCAGCGTCCAAGACCGCCTATCTGGATCCGCCAATGGGATTTGGAGGAAATGGAGGATTTTGTAATGATCTGGAGGATACAGCCTTCTCCATCTGGCAGCACTGGGAGGGTGTTCATTTTTGTTTTACTGTACTGAAAAAGCACAG